AAGAGGAGGAGGAGGAGGAGCAGGAGGAGGAGGAGGTGGAGGAGGAGGAGGAGGAGGAGGAGGAGGAGGAGGAGGAGGATTAGGAGGACACTCGGGGCCTCGTGCGTCCACTCCGGAGTGTTGTGGTCCGCCTGGGGTGGCCGCGGGGCCGTCCTGAGGCGCTCTCGGGCCGCCCCAGAGCCTCTCGCGGGCACCCCAGCGTTCGAGGCGAGCCCAGGAGGGTTCCCGAGACGGCCGAATATGCCCCAGCGGGGCTCAAGGTTCGAGGTTTTCTGACCTTCTCGTCGCCTGTCGGCGGCTTTCCAGCCTTCGGATGCCTTCCAGCGGCTGCGCCTCGACGAGAGCGCTCCGAGAGTGCCTGGAGCGTCCCGAGAGGCCGCCAGAGACCCGAGCTGTGACCCGAAGGCCGTAATGACGAGGCGTCCCAGAGCGGCACTCCAGGTGGCACGGATGCTCAGAGGGGCGCGACGCATCGTCCCAGGCTGCGCTTCTCTCGGGGTCTTCCTGAGGCCTCTTGGGCCCTCGCTGGGCCCCCCAGAACCTCTCCTGAGGACCCTTGGGGGTACCCGATACGAGGAATGCAGGGAGTGCTGTGACGGATGGTGGAGCCTCAGCGTGCGCGCGCGCGAAGCGCTCGTGGGGTTGTTCTAGCATGTCTGTTCCGGGGAAGAAAAAAACACGAGAGTGTGAGGGTGTCCGACGGCGCACTTGGGCATCCCAGCCTGCCGGAGCAGCCTCAGCGGGTGTTCTTTTCGTCCTCCTCCCTGATCCTCTTCCTCCTGCTCCTCCTCCGCCTCCTCCTACTCTTGCGCTGTGGGTCGCAGGGGGTCCCAGCGACGTTATTTTCTGTCTCGCCCGCTCCTCGGAGGGCGCCGACTGTACACCTGCACCGATCCTGGCCAGGTCGATCCGGGGCCCAGGGTCGGTAGGCCTGCCGACGGCCGCTGGCGCCAACCACGACGGCGGCCGAGGCGCTCATGGACCAGTTCCGAGCCAAGCTGCGGGAGATCAACGCGAGGCCAATACGGAAGGTCACGGAGGCCCGGCCCCTGTGGGGGGGGGCGCCAGCGAAGCTGCGGCCCTCGAGGGGATACACGAAGGGAGGTGATGGGCCCATTTCCCACTACCACTACCATAGGTAGGAGAGGGAGGAGGAGGAAGAGGAGGGGGAGGAGCAGGAGGAGGATGATGCGGACCTCCTTATCCTCCCTTCTTCCCCGTCTCACACATGGTAGTGGTGGTGGAAAACTTGCCCATCAGGAGGAGCATGACATCTGCAGGGTCTCGGAGTAGGGCACTGTACCGATACCGCTGCCCGTGCCTCGTTTTCGCCTTTGGGGGGGCCTCGTGGGGGGCTCTCGAGGGAGGGTGGGGGAGGCCGTGGATAGGGGGAGAGGTTGGGAAATGGAGGCGGGGACGAGGGCGAGGGGACGGGACAGGGAGAGATGGGCATGAGGAGGGATGAGGGGAGTCAGGGCAGCAGGGAAAAAGAAACGGATCTTCTTCCCCCTTCTCCCCCTTCCCCTGAAGTTTCACGAGGGCCTACTGAGAGTCCCAATGTGGTCGGGACAGAGTCTCCTGAGGTGTCTGAGGCACCTCAGAGACCTCCAAGACGGTCAAGATGGCCCCAAGATGGCCTGGGGCGGCGCAGAAGGGGAATGAGGAGGAGGCGGAGGAGGAGGAGGCGGAGGAGGAGGAGGAGGAGCAGGAGGAAGAGGAGGAGGATGAGGAGGAAGAGGAAGAGGAAGAGTATGATGATGAGGAGGAGGAGGAAGACGAGGAGGAGCAGGAGGAGCAGGAGTACGAGCAGGAGCAGGAGCAGGAGCAGGAGGAGGTGGGGAAGAAGTCTGGCCTAGCGCCTCAGTGGCCGCGCCGCGGGGGCGCGCTGTCGTGCTTCCTCGTCGGTGTCGCGGCCCTCGTTGGAAAATGGATGGCCCAGTGCAGGCACGACGCTGGCAGAAGGAGCACTTTGGGCTCTCACCACCCACCAAACCACCCCAACCCGACGCGAAGGCCCCAGTCTGCCCTCCAATCTCAGTGGGGATAGGGTCCGGGAGCAGTCAGAAAACACGGTGGAACCCGTACCCCCCCCCCGAGCCGGGTGGGGATGGTTTTGGTAGGATGCCAGGCTCGGGGGGGGGGCTCTGCTTTTTCTGGCCACTCCTCAGATCCAGGCCGGGGGGGAACTTGCTGTGTGGCCGAAGCTCGCCGTGACCAGAAGAGCCCGTGCGTCTCCTCATCCTCAGTCTGGGTTCGTGAAATGCTAGCACGATGGCTGCACGGCCTCCTACGCGAAGGGCTCAGGAGGTCGTGGCAGAGGCTCAGTGCGCTTCTCGGCGCTTCTCTTGGCCTACAGTGGGAACCCATGCCAAGAAACACCCTGCTTGCCTCCAGAGTGCCCTGGGTTTTTGGAGTCTCGATGGTTTTGCTATGGAAGCGTACCGTCCCCACACCCACAAATCAATGGACGCCCTGGGGTCTCAGGGTTGGGTTTCTCGCGGAAGTTCCCTTGTGGTCGAGCTACTGCTGGACCCAACGGGTGCCTCCAGAGAGGCGGAGGAGGCCTCCCCGTGGGCCCGAGAGCCTCCTGGCCCACCCTCGGCTCCGGGCGCCGCCCGCCCCTGGCGTGCCGCGGAGGGCCCCCGGAGTTGTCTGGCGGGGGTCGGCCTGGACGGTGCCTCTGCGACGTCGTGGGCCACTCTCGTTTCTCGGGCCGGGCAAAAGGGGGGGATTGGGAAAGGTCGGGGGTGGACAGAACCCCCAACAGTGACACGTCGATTAGTGAATTGTCCGTTTTCGGTTCTCGAGAGGGCGCCGTGGCCGTTATTTTCCAGGCTTGCGCCTGCCAGGTTTGGGCCTCAGGTCGTTTTCACTAAACCACGTTTTACTAAAGGGGGGTCTGTCCATCCCCGAAAAGGGGGGGTTACGAACTTTGCTGCACGCAGCTGGTTTCGGCCCCACCGAGGGGCCCATTCCTCGATACGTGGGCGCCTCCCGGCGCCGGGAGGCGCCGGGAAGATCAGCCACGCGAGCTGAGTCTCCCCCCCCCCCCTTTGCTATCCCCTCCTTTCGCCCGGCCCGAGTTTCGATCTCGTGTTGCAGCAAAGGCGGATGGAAGAGGGAACACGACCACACAATTGTTTGGGCCGGTCCATGCTGTCCGGGGTTCCCCAGCGGAGCCTGCAAGGCAGCATGCCGAGTTCCTCGAGCCGAGCGTCGGAGGAACAGCTGATCACACGTAAGAGTGGCCTTTTGCGGGAGTGACCTTCGGTGCGGGCACACTGGGGCAGGGCTGTGCCTGCAAGGTGTTTTGGCCATCTCGTGTTGACCTGAGCGTTTCCGTGCTGTTCTGCACTCAGGGCGAAGCGACGGCAAGACGAGGAAGAACGAAGAGCAGAACGAGCACGAAAGGCAAAACGAAGAACGAGAACGAAGACAAAACGAAGAAGAAGGAGGAACAAAACGAGGAAGGAGGAAAAGCGAAGAACAAACGTTCGACCGAAAACGCGATGCGGCATAGCAGCGCCTGGCGCGCTCGGGCCTGGCCTCCCCGCGGCCCGCGGCCCCCGAGTGCCGCGCACCAGAGGCCACTCCTGCCCAGGGGTCGCCACCCAGGAGGAGGAGGAGGAGGAGGAGGAGGAGGAGGAGGAGGAGGAGGAGGAGGAGGAGGAGGAGGGAGGAGGAGGAGGAGGAGGAGGGAGGGAGGAGGAGGAGGAGGAGGAGGAGGAGGAGGAGGAGGAGGAGGAGGAGGAGGAAGACCACCAAGCCACCCCAACCCAACCCGAAGGAAGACCACCAAGCCACCCCAACCCAACCCGAAGGCCGCAATCTGCCCGCCATGGGTCGGGGAACATTTTGACAAAAACACACGGAAGCCGTCCCCCCCCCAACCCGAAATTCGTTTCTTCGGGTTGGGTTGGGGTGGTCTGGTAGGTTGCCCAGGGCCCAGGGTCATTCGTGCGTGCAGCCAAACACGACGAGTCGTGAGTGCGCTTCGCTCCGAGAGTTCTGTTCAGATCGCGATGTCCCGCACGGGCTCCACACGCAAGGAGTCGGCTGAATGAGCTGGGGCTCGTGGAACGTGCCATGAGCCAAGCCAAGTTGGCATGGCTCTCGTACAAGATCAGCGGAGTAGCGCCGTGAATACTGCTTTTGTCTCCAACGATCCTGCAGTGTTGGGTCCTCGTTTTGAAGCGACGGCGCCCCGCGTCCCTCCTCCTCACTCCTCCGTCATCCCTGCTCCCATCCCCGACTCAGCCGTCGGAATGTCCATTTCGGCACACCGCTCACGCGTCTCGTGACGTCAGAGCTTCAACTAAGTTCCCAGGGGGGATACCACATGCAGCCCCCCTATTCATCCCGGCACCCCTCACATGTTTCTTGGCCCCATATGGAGCTCCAACTAAGGCCCCGGGTCCCTCAACCCATGCTGTCGCATCTTTCACACATTTCGTCGATCCCGTGCCGATGAAGCCCGATTCGATGCACAGCTCGATCCGACCCGATTTCCCGATCCGATGCCGACGGATCTCGTCCTCCGGCGCAGGCCAAGAACCGGAAGAAGCGGCGCCTGCAGAAGCGGCTGGAGAAGCTGCGGTCGACCGCCATGTCCCTGGCCGACGTGGAGACCCGCGCGCGCGTGCCGTCTGCCGGCGGGGGACGGAAAGGTGGAAAGTAGGGGACGGAGAGACGAGAGACAGATTCAGACAGACAGGCAGAGAGACAGACAGACAGACAGACAGACAGACAGACAGACAGATACAGACAGAGACAGACAGACAGACAGACAGGCAGGCAGACAAGATGGGCGGAGACAGACAGACAGACAGAGGATTTGTGTCCAGGTGGAACCGCGCTGGCAGGGCAATGAATAGATGCGGCCTGACGCTGCAACCCGAGCGTTGGTGGCACTCGGCTCACAGAGGTGCGGCCAAACACCGTACCTTAAGACGACAACGAGGCATGAAGGCGAGGTTTCAAGATGACAGATCTGCTTAAACATGAAGAAGCGTGAGGCTGACACATGGAAGGAAGGAAGGAGGAGGCGTGAGCAGGATGCGACCAGCCAGCGAGCGCGAGCGAGATCCGCAAGCGCCTCGGCCGAAGAGGGCAGCCCCCACGACCGACTCGGGGGAGTCCGACGCCAGGGTGCATCCGGAGGCACGACCGACCAGCGAGCAGCCCAGTGCGTGGGACCAGCAGACGGGGCGGCACCGTGTCTTCCTGTAGCACGCAACCCCTGCGAGGTGGCAGGGGTTACGTGCTCGACAGGACCCCCCCCTGGGCCAGTTCGAAGCAGAATCACACATGGCTTCACCCGTCATGAGACTCTGGCCCCTCGCAGCACACTGCCGGGATGGGTGTTCCTGCCTTTGCAACTGGCGTTGAGCCCACGACAGGACCCGTCTGGCAGGATGCAGGAGGCAGAGCACACCGAGTTACTCGCCCAGACTTCTCTCCTCCTCCTCCTCCTCCATTTCGTGTCCGAGCTCCAGAAACTCCTCCGGGTACAGCCAAATGAGGCTGAGCCTTGACTTCCTGGGGCCCCAGGAGCCTCGTCGGCAAACCTCACAGCAACTTGCACCGCCTCTGAAGCCATGGGGGCCGCCTCGGCGCCACCGAAACTGAAAGATTCATGCGCCTGGAGTCTGTGATACTCTGATAGCGCGCAGGCTCGGCGACTACCCGTTCGCAGCTGTGCGAGTGAGGCCTCAGTCCGAGCCAGCACATACTACTGCTTGCATCTCCACCCCTCTCTTGAAGGGAATTATAACATCTCATGCTTAAGCATCACCGTTCTTCTTTCGACCCGCGCAGCACTCCCTTCGACCAAGCAGGGAATGGGTTCGACTCACTCCCTTCGACCAGAGCAGCCGCGGACTGCGAAAAACGAGCTACACAATCAAACTGCTTCTCGTTCTGTCCAATACTGCCTCGCTGCAGGTCCACATCGTCTTAGGCGTAGCGACACTCTCAGACACGAGCCTTGCGAACCACTCGGCCCACATGTTCCCAAGGAATTGTTCAAGGCCGACCCTACTGGCACCGACTTCCGCGACAAGAGTGCCCCACTCACGGTGAGCGGGCGTCCAGACGAACGAGGTGCGCAAGTTCGATTCACCGCACAACTCAAACACCTTCCTCCATGCGGCGGCGTGCAAGGCGTAGCCTGTCGCATGCTTGGGCGACCACGGGTTGTCTTCATTGACGGCACGCAGATGGTCAGACACAGCCTGGGCATCTGTCGGGCCGTGCCTGAGCGCCTGGTAGACGGCGTGTCTCTCCGCCAGGGGCACCGTCTGGCGCCATGCAGGGGGGGCTCTGTACACAGCACGGACAGGGAGTCACGAGAGGCTCATCTCCACATCAGCCCATCCACGCCGCCTCAGTTCGGGACTGTTGCTGACCGGTGCCGAGTCGTCGGTGTGGCTGCGTTCTCCCCGGGCGGTGCAGGCGCGGCCCCACGAGCAGCCGGGGGTGTCTCCCGGGACCTGAGGGGGGGCACCGCGCCGACCAGCGGGAAGCCGCACGCCAGCTGGAGCGTGTCCCAATCAGGCGGGCCACTGCCAGTCTCACCTCGGTCTCTCGGCCCAGGCCGAAGCCGCAGGATGTCCTCGGGATTAGCTTGCCCGAGAGAACCAGGGAAGTTCAGAGCTCCATCACAATCGTAACGTTGGTGGCCGAGGGTGCCTTTCGCTCTTTCGGGACAGAAAGTGCACACGCCAGACCTGCACATCCCAGCCTGGTGCTTGCTGGAAGGGGGCCACATAGCACTACCGAGCAGACGGCGAGCGGCACCGCGCCTCATGGCGTCGGGAATGCTGAGAATACCATGGCGCCAGCCTCGCCAGCCTCGGAAACGTGCTGAGAATCCATGAAAACACCAGAGCCTTCAGCCTCGGGAACGCGCTGAAAGATCCTGACAGCCTGCCAGGCCCACACTCCCACCCTCAGGAGCTGTCGAAGCTCGCACGGAGACACGTTAAACAGGTATGAAATTGTACCTTGATCGTCGATCACTGTGTGTGTGTGTCGGCGACATGCTCCAACCTATCCCATACAACGATCGGATGACGGCCGAGATCGATCCCTTGCACCTGTGGCACGCAATCTTAGATCTGAGCTCACCCCTGATGGACATCCAGTCCCTCTGGAGCAGCTCCAGGGACATCCTCTTATCCCAGATAGCAGCAGCATAACGCATGAGCAAAGGGACTGGGGCCTCAAGCACATAATCGAAACACCTGTCCTTCTGGGTCGCGAGCCACGCCGTGAGGGACCCACCGTTTGGCGCCGACCGGGGACCACGCAAGCGTCTTGAGTGACATCAGGGTGGCATCCGGCAGGCCGCTCACTCCAGCAATGTGCACGCATGCGGGCAGCAGGCCAGTTTGCCAGAGAGTCCCTGCCTTGGCAGGGGCGCCTCTCCTCAGGGATTGGAGCTCGGAACTCCGCTTTCAGACCTCCAGGCGACGACTCCGTTCCTGGAGCCTTCGGGGGCGCCCGCTAAAAGTCTCGTGCCCGAGGCTCTTCATGCGCCTGGGTCCCCTAAGCCTCACGATGCGCGCTCCGCAGGAGGCCTTCGAAGAAGCGCGAATGGCGGACGCAATGCGTCCGCGCTTGGAAGCTTGGAGCACCAGCCCGACCTTACAGAACTTCCTACAAATCCAAGGCACAACCCCGAGGAGCAGTCTCGAGACCCTGGTGTTATCACTGATCCGCTGGAAGCTCGCGTCGTCCATCAGGGCCCGCGGCTTCACATCCTTAACAGTGGAACGCGTCCTGACTACAATGCGGTGCAGCAGCATGTGCACCATAGTGTTGGCGTGGCTACAGGCAGCCAGTATCCTTTGGTTACTCCCAAGGTCCCTGGACAACGAACCGGACGCCCGAACCGACCGAGGACACCAGTAGGCTCCAATGATCATCCAGACCATTCTCAAGGGGTGCTTCAGGGCTCGGGCCTCCTCCAGCAGCTTTTCCCCGCTCACACACTCGAAGCAATGATACACATCCACAAAGACGGGCGCAGTGTGCTTGCCGGCTGCAGCTACAGTCTCGGCGTCGAGGTTGTGAGTCGACGCTGCATCAGGATGAGGAGGCCAGTCGGCTACCCCAAATCAAAAAGCAAGGCGCCCGTGGTCGCGTTCCCAGTTTAACGAAGCTTGCTTCTTAACCCTCCCACATATGCGCACATGGCTGTGCAGTAGGGCTATCAACCTATGACCGCCCGAGGGATTGCTGAGCCTCACGAGCCTCGTGTTGACCCTGTCAACAGGCCAAGACATTAGCCTCTCACAGGTCTGGACAAGCAGCACCGGGGAGCCCTCTTGGCCCAGTTGGCGCTGACTTGCACAGCATGCTCCATCACCTTGGCTTCCACCACGTCCAGCAAGGCCTGCTCGTGCTCAACATGGACATCATCAATGAACCGACTCGATCTGATCGTAGAGGGAGCAGGCATCAACCGACACATGCTCGCGCACCCAACGCCCTCTTGATGCGACTGAAGAACCCAAACACGTCGTATACCAACTTTGCAACCTTACCAACATCATGCGCATCGTCTGTGATCGGGCACTCGAGTCTCATTCGCTTGCTTCTGAGGTGCCTCGTCCAACGGCCAAACACTTCAAACATCCGAGCTAGCTGGGGGAGGCGGTGGCTTCGGCCGAAGCTGCTTCCGTTCCGTCTAAGGCTGTCCAGGTCTCCCGTGATATTTCCTGCAGTCGGACGCTGTCATGATCTGTTGCTTGTCCAGCATCTCTGCTTCGAGGCCAAGCAGCACGTCGTCCCAACACTCTACCAGACTTTGGTCATCTGAGACCTCCAGTTTAGCACGCACCTCTTTCCACTCAGGCACAGGCGGGAATCTGCTGCATCCTGGTGGGCATACAACAGGGAACTTGGTTGGCTCAGCAGTAGCTTTTTGGAACCTATCCCGAGGACTAGCACGAGCAGTCATACGCGCAGGCACGTGAGGAAACTCATCGACCTCTTCTTCCACCTGAGGCTGAGCTACCAAGTTCACCAATTGCTCTGATACCTCGAAGAAATCTCTAACTATACCAGGCGTCGCTTGCCTGCATGTCGGGGCATTTGGGACCATGAAGACCCCAGTCACAGCAATGAACCACTCCATGACGCCCTCAGGGTTCACTTTGAAGTCGCCTCTCACCGTCCATGCCTGGCCTATCGCACTCAGCTTAGCGAGATACTTGGTGACGGTCGTGAGGATGTCCACGACAGGATACAACGAAATTAGCACCACACCACTCTTGGATCCCCAACGCGCACGACTAGCAACAGCCCTGCCAGGGACAAAGACAGGATCGCTTGCCATCCTGGGACTGGAAGTAAGCACCCTCTGAGTCGACAGGATAGCCACACCGCCGGTAGGACCTGCTCGACTCCACGTGATTGCTGGAGCCCACACCCTTGATATCCCAAAGTCAAGGGCCTTAGTTTGCACATCTGCCAGCCGATGCTCATCAGCATGATGCCCCTGGCCCGCAACACGCCAGCCACCGCAGTCGACTGCTTGCTCATCAGCTCGTGCAACGGCCCGTGCGGCGAAGCGTTGATTGTGACGAGGTGTCCTCCGGCCTCCATCTGCTCGGCGCAGTCGTAGCTCTCGCACGCGGCCTCGCTCATCTCGTCCACCTGCTCCGCTCCCTCTCCTTGCTTGATGTCCGCACCTGGGCAACACTGAAACGGCGGTGCCCGATGGACCATCTTACAAGTAGCTGGGCCGTCCATGTCAGGCTGCTTCGCCTGGGCCCTCCGGTACCTCCGACCAGCAGATCCACGTTGACCTTGCCATGATTGTTCCAGCTTGGTGGGGGGGCGTCACTCCTGCTGCAGTGCTGCCTCGCAGCATTCCCGCATTCTGACAGGCAGCGGTGGCGGATTTACCCACCCCTTTTTTTCTGGCTGGACGTGGCGACGTATTTGGTGACTGCTCAGCAGCATCACGTCCCGGCCTTTCCTTTTCAACCCTGGCGGGGGGGGGCATCACCCCGACTGCAGTCCTGAAACACAGCATCTCGACCTGCGGCGCTGGTGGGCGCACCCACTTCGCCTGTTCTGCCTCGGCGTGGCGACGTACTGGCCCATGGCGCAGCAGCGGACGCAACCAAACATGCTCACGTAGCCACCGACCATCTCAACATCCATGGACATACTGCTGGAGATCCACTGCCACGCACCTTCGCGCTTGGTGGTTTACTTCTGGACGTGGTTGCCGCATGCCCCTCCGAGCCGTTTTACCGCTGCGCGAACATCTTGCTCAGCTGTTGGGGGGTACGTGCCGAAGGCGGCCTTTATATCTCCGGCACCGCTTCGAGGTCGTCATCGCCCATGAGCACGGCAATGCCGATACCATTGTGGAGGACGATCAATGGAGAGAAAGCATGTTGCCAAATAATTTCCAGATGTCTGAAACATGTGTTACAAATTTTTATAACATGCAACACACATGCTTAAAACATGTTCAGAACATGCTTCCGACATTTGAAACACATTGTGAATGCAATGATAGGACTGGTAGGTTGTCCATCGTCGTGGCATCCACAACGATACCAGTCTTGGTTTCCCCACCGCGCCCGCCAGCAGGTTCCGCCTTGTTGCTTGCCTGCTGCTGCTGCTGCTTTCCTCGCCCTTGCAGCCGCAGCTGTGCCCAGCTCGCGCAACTTGCCGAGACACGTGACGACCTCCTTTTCCAGGCTCTCGCGACCTCCGAGCGCCTGCGACATCTTTTACCAGCCTCGAACGTATCCCTATCCCTAAGACTGACACGCCACAAGGCGATGACAATCTTAGGGATTCGCCCTCAAAAAATAAGGGAATCCCTAAGGTTTGCATCGTGATGAGGAGGTGCCCATCATAGGGATAGGGATATGTTCCAGGCTGGTAAATCTTCCCGACCTCGTCAACACTGCAGTCAATGCCCGACGCCACTGGCCCGAGGGACGGCGCCTCGCTGACCTTGTGCATGGCTGCGGCCGCTGCTGCCGGCAACCTGTTTCTCCTCCAGCTCCCGACCACTCTACGTTGATGCCTGAGAGCACCTCCTGAGACTCCAGCACCCTCTTTACCAGCTTGGCATGAGCCGCGCGTAGACAGTCGATCGCCGCCATCTGCTTATCCCACTTCTTCTTGAGAGCCTGGCGGCGATTCGTGACCTGGTGGAGCTCAGCACAGAGGCTTCGCCGCCAACCTCCTGACCTTGATAACTTCCACCTCCCCCTGAATCTGCTAACGCGATGCCGTGAGGATGGGGTCCGTGCTGTTGCCGATCGCCCGAAGTGTCGTTTCCTCCCCCTCAGCTCAGAGAGCCTTGCCTCGTCGACGCTGCTGTCATCCTTCCCTTCTTCGGGCAGTTCCCGGGCTGCACCAGACTTGAGCATCGCGATCTCCTTGTTTGTTGCCGCCATCTGGGCCTCGAGCTTATCGACGCACGCCTGCCTAGCCTGCTCGACGTTCCTCTTGGAGACTGCCTGCAACGCGCTTAGATGTAGATGGTGGACCATCTTCGTCACGATCCCCTCATCTGCACGTTCCTTTGCCGGCCCACATATCGAGCAGGTTTGCCTGTTGGCGTGGTTCCACCAGCGAGCTCCGTTCCGAGAGTGGACGCACAGTTTGCAGTACCAATGCGATGCAGCCTCCCTCCGTCTCGTTCGGAAGTGTGTAGGTCCCAGCATGCACCACCATTTACCATCGAAGACCTAGGAAGACTGAGAACCCTGGGCCCCCGCAAGCCTCTAGGGTGGCAGGAAGAGCGTGGAAGCGTGCAGCGCGGACTTCACGCGAAAGACCTGACCTCTGGCCGCAGACTAGCAGTATCCACTTGCTTCGCGAGGGAACTCAAAATTTGTGAGCCAAACCGGTTTGAGCCATCAATGGCTACGGAAGCGTGAACTGACAAGGAGGGACGTGAGGAGGATCAGGAGGACCAGTGTAAGCCCAAGACGCGTCGACGATGTTGCAATAATCCTTCCATCCAAACTTCGTCTTCTTCATAGGCCTATACAAGAGTTTCAGTTCATTGCCGGAAGTGTCCCGTAGAACGACAAACGTCTTATAACCCTCAATTGCGACAAGGAGGGCAGTGAGGAGGAGTAGGCGGAGGAGGATTTGGAATGCTGCAAGCGTCGAGCTTGAAGTTCGATCTACGTCAGAAGAGGAGGAGGAGGTAGAGCAGGAGGCAGAGGATGAGGATGACGACGAGGACTCTGATGCCATACGATGGTTACTTGATACCCCCCAGTCTGATACTCTATGCCCGCGGGGAGCTTCCCTTCGTTCCCTCATTCTCTTCGCACCGCTTCTCTCCGCTGAGTCTGCCAAGGCCATTCGAGTGGGGAGCGCGAGTTTGTTGTTAACCATGGTTTTCTTTATCCCAGCTTCCTGAAGCACGGGCCATCCAGCCAAAGTCGGTCCACCGTAAAAAGGACGAGGAGATGGAACATGATGACGTGGAACGTTTACGAATGAGCAATCGGACTACCTGCCGTTCGAAGCTCCGAGACCGGGAGAGGAGGAGCGCGACGTTGAGACGAGATCAAGGACGTGCGTTGGTGGTGTCGGAGGAAGAGGTGGGTTGGAGCGCGAAGAGACGGAGGCAGGGCCTCTTCCTTCTCCTGCTCCCTCTCTCGTCCTGTCTCCTCTCTCTTTCGTCAACCTCCTTTTCGTCGTCCTTATCCTTCAGCAGGGGCTCCTGCCATCCCTCCTCGCTGCAGTGAAGTGGTTCGAAGGAGAGGGGGAGCTCTTTCCGCTCTGCCTCACTCCCTTCGCCCCCTGACTCCGAAGCGCACTCTCTGTCCCGTGCCCCCCCTACCCGTCGCTTGGCGAGGGCGACATGAGCGAAGTGGCCAAGGCGCGGCAGATGCGCAAGGCCATCAGCAAGGCTGCCCGCGATGACCAGCGCAAGGCGCTCCTCCCCCCATGTTCCTCGCCCCTCCCCCGCCACGTGTACCCCCCCGCTTCCCCTCGTCGTCGTCGTCCTCCTCCTCCTCCTCCTCCTCCTCCTCCTCCTCTCGTCGTCGTGCGTCCTCCCGCTCCTCGTCTCGTCCTGTGCCTCCCTCATTCGTCAGACCTCCGTCCGCAGGCCCCCTCCGCCGCGCGCTCTCCCGTGCCTCGTCCAGCACACGGCCTCCATCGTTGCGACTCCGCGCCCCCGCCACTCTGGCATCATCCATTCTCCGTTCGCCACCCTCCGCTTCGAATATCCTTCCCCCAGCCTTCGCCCTCCCCTCTCCTCCCCCTTGCTTCCTCGCAGCGCCTCTCTTTCGCTTCTCCGTCGGGCCTCGTACCTCATCCCTCATCAGCCGTCCATCCTTTCTCCTATCTCCTCCTCTCTCCTCCACCTCCATCTTCTCGCCCTCCTCGTTCTCCGCCCCCCTCCCCCCCTAAAAAACCCTCTCCCCTCCTCGTCCCACCTCCTGCATGGCTCCTCCATCCCCCCTTGTCCTCCCTGTCTCTCCTTCCCCTTCCGCGCTCCCCGCTTTCGCCTTGCCCCCTCTCTCTCTCTCCTTCCTGCTCCCTCCTCGCTCCTCGCCTCGTCTTCTCCTGCCCACCACCGCCCTCCTCTCTCATGGCCCCTCCTCTCCCCCCCACCCCTCCTCTCCTATCCTCCCTCCTCCCTCCTCGGGGCCTCCGTCCTCCCTCCTCTCTTCCCCTGTCCTCCCTCCTCCTTTCCCGTCCGCCCCCTTCTCGCCAGCCTCCTCCTCTTTCTTCTCCCTCCCCCTTTCCTGGCTTTTTTCTCACTGGACCCACGCGTCCGAAACTCTCCTCAAGGTGCAGGTGGTCGCCATCAAGAAGGGCGGTGGCGGCAGACAAACCACGAAGGGCAAGGCACCGAAAGGCGCCAAGGCCTCGCGCGCCTCGCTGCCCTAGCTATCCGTCCGTGCCCACCGCGCCGTCCGTGCATTCTTCAGGGGGGAGTCGTCTGACTCTCGGTGCCCGTGTGGTTTGCCCCATCCTCGCACGTGTTTCTGAGTGTCAGGGTTGTGCTGCCATCCTGGCCACCCTCGTCGCCGTCCTCCATCGTCTTCTCCTGCCCCCCCTTCTCTTCCCCGGCAACTAATCCCGGTGCCGCACCCCATGATGCTCAATAGCATCCATTGCCTGCATTACACGCGTTGAAGTATGCGAGCCCTTTGGGACTGTTACGCGCCCGATGGGGTTATTTTCCTTCAGAAGGGGATGGGGGTAGCTGTGGGGTTATATGTAATGATGCGGGACACGACGGGGGATGGACACGGATGTGTGCGTACTGTGCTGAGGAGGAGTCGTTTTTGTTGTTGGGGGGAGTGGGATTAGAAAGGCGAATAACCGCGAGGATGATGCCGAGGGCGGGGAGGGATGCCGGGCAGGGATGCAGGCGACTTGGGAGACAACGGCGATGCAGATGTGGAGGAGCATATTTTGGATGCAGGGGCGATGATGGCACGGATGAGGTTGGTGAGCAGTACACTGGGGCGGGGAGGAAGCAAAGAAGGGAGGGAGGCGGATGTGGTGGATGTGTTGGATAGACGATGGTGATTTTGATGAGGAGGTTGAGGTAGGAGGAGGAGGAGGAGGAGGAGGAGGAGGAGGAGGAGGAGGAGGAGGAGGAGGAGGAGGAGGAGGTGGAGGTGGAGGAGTAGGAGGAGGCAGGAAGAGGAGGAGGAGGACCTCCTGGGACCTGTCTGGGCGCCTTTGTGTTGGGCGTCTTGGTCTTCGGAGTTCGTTGGTCCCTCTTTGGGCGCTTTAGAGCTGTCTTGGAGGTCGGTTGGGCCGCCTCGGGGCCTTCTTGGAGGCATCTTGGGCCGGCTTGGGGCCCTCGTGGGTTTGCCTTGGGGCACTCGTGGAGCTGCCTTGGGGCTTCTGGGGCCGTCTGCGGTTGTCGGAAGCCCCAGCAGCTGAGAACGCGAACGCACTTTGAACACAGCCTGGGCATAAGGAGTTTGGCCTTCTGGGGGTCCTCTTGAAGCTCCCCTTCTCAAGGGAGGAAAACACACCCGGACCCGACAATTGGCCAAACGGCCCTGGGCGTTTATCAAGCAGCCTTGCCCTGTTCGATTCCTTCTGTGGGTGCGTTTGCGAAACGGCTTCGCATGTCGGGGTGATCATTATGGGGCTGGATTTTCTGCACTCTGCCTTTGGGCCGTGCGAAGGACATCTTGGGCCGTCTTGGAGTCATGCCACTCCGTCTTGTTGGCAAATTGGGCCACCCTGGGTCCATCTTGGCCGTCTTGGATGCGTCGTGGGACAGTCTTGGAGGCCACGTTGGCGGTCTTGCAGGCCCACTTCGCACCATCTTGGACGGGAAAGCCGATGGCGTGTTGCCAGTCTCGTGCTTTCCGCGTGGCGACACGCCACCAGCTCCTCTTGCAGGCAACGGCGGATCGAAGACGCCTACGGCGAATCACCGCCCTGCCTTTCAGGATGCGCCTCTGTGGCAAACGTTTGGGCAAAGTCTGGTCAAGCTGTTGGATCATGTGTTCTCCCAGCTGTTGCGGAAACCCTTCGAGGAACACGTGGGTGAGGATGAGGAAAGGGAAGTAATGGAGGAGGAGAATGATGAGGAGGTCTCTTGGGAGCCGTTTCGGTCATTCCTGGGGCCTCCTGGGAGCTTCCTGGGGGCCTCTTGGAGGCCCCTTTGGGGCCTCATCGGGCCGCTTTGGGGCCTTTGGGGGGGCTGCTTGGGGGCATTTTTGGCTGTCCTAGGACGTTCATGACTCGCCTGAAGCCGTCGGAAGCCATCGTGGGGGCTTCTCTGGGCCGTCCTGGGGCCTTCTCGGGATGCTTCAGGGCCGGGAGGCCATTTTGGGCGCCTTGGAGGCCCATGGCGGCCTCTTGGGCCGTCTTGGGGCCCTCTTCGGGTCGTCTCGGGGGCTTGGCCCGTCATGTGGCCGTCTCGGAGGCCTCTGCGGCGCTCTTGGGGCGATCTTGGGGGGCTGTCGGCCCGTCCTGGGCCGTCGGAAAGCCGAAGAGGCGCAAAAGCCAAATATTCCACCAAACCTAACGGGAATTCATGATTTGGCATCTTCGGGCCTTCCTGTAGGTCCTTTGGGCCGTCTCGGAGGCCTCTTGGAAGCTTCGTTGACCGTCTTGGCCCATCTTGAGGCCATCTTAGGTCTTCTTGAGTGCATCGTGAGCCGTCTTGGGCACACTGTTCGGCCATTATGGGTTCTCTTGGGGCCATCTTGGCCGTCCGGGAGGCCATCTTGGCCGACTTGGAGGCCATTTTGAGGAAAAAGACGTTTGGGGGTGGGTTGCCCGGAACTTCAGGGTGGCTGGCGGGCTGGACCGCGCCAGTTCGCTTGTCTGAGGTAGACCGCTTCCGCAAGGGAAATTAATCCCTCCAGTGGGGGTGCGATCGAATACGAAAAGGGTCGGTGTCGAAAGGTTGGGTGTACATATCCGATGACACGCGAGTGAGCAGATGAAAGCTAACAGCTTTGAGCATGTTGCTGTTGTTGATGCTGTTGTCCTTTGTTGTTGTCGACGCTTTGGGGAGGCTTGCTGTTGCTGCTGGTGGTGAGGGGGGGAGGTGGAGGATGATGTGAAGGGTGAGGGGCTGGGATATGACAGGGAGGGTGTAGAGGAGGCGTTCGAAGGGCTGCCTGACCCAAAACCTATTCGTGGGCCGCGCTCTTCCTCAAACACGCAGACCCCCAGCCCCGCCGCCCCCCCCTCCGCAAGCTTCCCTCCTTTCCGCACGGGCCGGGGAGGTCGGGGACCGACCTCTCCGTGCGAGGAGGGCCAGGGGTGGGAGCCCCTCGCCTGCGGTCGGCGCGAGCAGCAGGAACGAGCGAGTTTCTCGAGGATGCTCTTGCCTCCTTGCCTTATGTCGGGCGTGTCCCCCTACAGAGGGATGTACGAAAAATAAAACATACCCCCAAAAATGCCCCCACAAAAGGTCAAACAATACTAAAAAGATAGCCCCCCGACTATTTTTGGACAATTTTTTGTCGAAAATCCCTCTGTAGGGGGACAGGCCCGACTTAATCCTTGCCTTTTCGGCCCCTCCTTGGCCATGCTCGTCGGCCGTGCGCCGCTCCAAAGAGTGTTCCCTCGGGCATCCGAGGCCCTTGCGTCCCCGCAGCCGCTGGCTGTACTCCCGGCGATGGCGGCTGGAGCAGTTCAGGCGCCCAATGGCTCGGGGTTGGACAGACCTCCTACCCTGACACGTCGATTAAGGCATTGGCCGTTTTCGGTTCGCGAGGGGGCGTCGCGGCCGTCATTTTTGCGGGTCCGGGTCCGTCGGTTTCGGTTCCAGGCGCTTTTCACTAAGGGGAGGTTTACTAAAGGCAGGTTAGTCCACCGCCGAATGGCGTGCTGTGCAGAACGAAAGGCACGAGGGAAGATGGTTCAAGTTTCACGGTTTGGTTGGGGAGAAGGCTTCGAGATCGTTCGTTCGTGGATGGTTAGAGTTTTGGGGGGGGGCGGAACGCACAGGCGCGTCCACCGCAGGCAGAGTGCGCACCACGCTGCGTACGAGAGTTGCAAGAGCAGTGCAGCAGCAGGAGCGGGAGCAGTAACGAGGGACCCGGTATTTGTGGGCCGTTGCGAGAAGTGTGTGCTCGATGCAGTAGCCGCCTGGCCCATCTTACTCGGCGGCTCGCCGAGGGGGGGGATGTGAGACGGGGCGGGCTTTCGCAGAAGGCGACAGGGCTTCTCCGAAGCCTTCGCGCCGTCCCAGGAGCCCCCTGTGGCTTCGGAGGAGCCTGGGAGGCTTCTCACCAGGCTGGAGGCCGTCTGAGCCTCCCGAGAAGGCCCGCGGCCTTCCCCGTGGATGCGCCGTCGAGGTATGGCGTCGCGAGACGTGCACTCCGGAAGAAGTCGCCACCCGTGTAACACCCTGCAGTTGCGGATCAGAGTGAGGGGGCGGGCGCGGGGCGGGTCGCGGTTGGTTCGCGGGTGGGTCGCGGGTGGGTCGCGGGAAGGTCGCGGGTGGGTCGCGGGCCGGGTCGCGGGCGGGACGCCGACAACAAGCAACACACAACACACAACACACACCACTCAACGAAGAACAGACAACAATCAACAGCCACAGCAACAACAACAAACGAAACAACAACAACAACAGCAACACAACACTTCGCACCGCAGAAGCCCACTTCAGTCACGCACCCAGGGACAGTGAATGACCGTTCGGCCCCTCACTCAGACTGCACACGCGCGCAACGGGAGCAGGTCCTCGCTTCTCTCGCCAGTGTCCCACGGATGCACGCTCGAATGGCGAGCGCGCGCTTGTGGACGAGCGGCTGTGCACAACCGCTTCCGTCTCGTGGGTGCGCATGTTTCCAGACACACGTGCACAGATGCACCCGCCCGCGAACACCATCCAGCGACAGCCTGCCATCGGTCACACGAGCGATGCTCCTTAACTGTGCCCCCCTTGGGACCGGCTGCGGCAGGGAAGCCCCGCCCAGTGCCTCGCTCCCCCCTCCTCCTGTGCCCGCGGGTCGGGTTGGTTCTCGGAGGAGCGCGTTTCGGCCTTCGTGCTCGCCCTCCGCTTCGTTTCACCGTCAAAAGCGCTGAGACAAGGACCGCGCAGCAGGGCTCGAGCTAAACGGTGTTCTGGCAATTTCGTGGACCGTTTTCGTTTTGACTTCGTTTTGCAGCAAACGTGGAACGAAGACAGAACTAGGGATGACGAAACCAATACGAAAACGGAAAGCACTGTTTAACTCGAGCCCTGCCACGTGGGGTTCGGGAGAGGGGGTTCCTGTCTTCGAGCTGCTTCCCGGGCTCCAGGAGCCCTGCTCGTGGCCGAGGCTGCCCGTGGCCAGAAAGAGTCCCCTCCGTTCCCTGGTGGGCGCTCCCCCCATGGCAGCACAGCGTCAGGAGGGGAACAAACACACACAGACACAAGTAATCATCGGTTCCCAGGAAATTATAGAAAATTATCCCAGTGCGACCCTACCTAGGAGTTGGAGCATTTAGGAAAGCAACATCTACATCTACACCGACAGCTACAGTTACATATACACCTGCATCTACATCTACATCGACATGCTATGCTATGCTGTGCTATGTTATGATGCGCTGTGCTATGCTAAGCAATGCTATGCTATGCTATGCTATGATATGCTGCGCTATGCTATGATATGCGATGATTTGATATGATGTGCTGAGCTATGTTATGATGTGCTATGTTAGGTTATGATAGACTATGATATGCTGAGTTATGCTATGCTGTGCTATGTCATGCTATGATATGTTTGGCTATGCTATGCTATGCTATGATGTGCGAATGCTGCGCTGCGATATGCTGCGCTTCGCTAAGCTAAGGTAAGCTAAGCTATGCCAAGCTAAGCTAAGCTAAGCTAATCTAAGCCAGGCTAGGTTAGGCTAGGCTAATCTAAGCTAAGCTAAGCCACGCCAAGCCAAGCCAGCCCAAGCCAAGCCAAGCTAAGCAAAGCTAAAATGATATAAGCTAAGCTAAGCTAAATTCTTTACGCTTCGCGTATCCCCACCAGCCCATCTCAAAACAGCAACTCTTGCGAAGCATGCCGACAGTGTGTTTTCAGGCGTGTTTCCGCCCGCCCCCGCATATCTCCCCTGTTCCTCCTTCCTCCCGCCTCCTTGTACATCCTCCTTGTGGTGGGAGCGGGAGAAGGACGAGGCGGAGGAGGAGGGAGAGAAAGCGCTCCTCGTGGTTTGAGTCGTTTGGGGTTTCTCGTCCTGGTGTGAGTCGTTCGGGCCCTTCTTCCTGGTGTGAGTCGTTCGGGCTCTTCGTGGTGTGAGTCGTTCGGGCTCTTCGTCCTGGTGTGAGTCGTTCGGGCTTCTCGTGGTGTGAGTTGTTCGGGCCCCTCGTCCTGGTGTGAGTCGTTCGGGCCCCTCCTCCTGGTGTGACTCGTTCGGGCTCCTCGTGGTGTGAGTCGTTCGGGTTCGGCGCCTCGTCCTGGTGTGAGTCGTTCGGGCCCCTCCTTCTGGTGTGAGTCGTTCGGGCTCTTCGTGGTGTGAGTCGTTCGGGCCCCTCGTCCTGGTGTGAGTCGTTCGGGCTCCTCGTGGCGTGAGGCGTTCGGGCACCTCGTCCCCTTTTGGGGCGTCTTGGGGGCCTCTTGGCGGCCCCAGGGGCTTCTAGGAGCGTCTTGGGTGCCTTGGGGGAGCCTCTTCGGGCCTCTTGGGAGCCTCTTGGAGGCCGTTTGGGGCGTCTTGGGGGCCTCTTGGCGGCCCCAGGGGCTTCCAGGAGCGTCTTGGGTGCCTCGGGGGAGCCTCTTGGGGCCTCTTGGGGGCCTCGTGGGGGTATCTTGGGGGCCTCTTGGAGGCTTCTTGGGGGCCTCCTGGGGGCCTCTTGGGGCCATCTTGGGGCCATCTTGGGGCCTCTTGGTGCCTCCTGGGCGCTTCTTGGGGCCATCGTGGAGGGGATGGATCAAAGAAGAGGGGAGCTTCAATGAGCGCTGCCCCCTCAGAAGGGCAAAATGAGCCCAAACCCTTCGTAAAATCAATGATTTTGCCTTGCAGGAAGAGGGGAGCTGTAATGAGCGCTGCCCCCTTCAGAAGGCCAAAATGCGGCCAAAACCGTAGTAAAAACATAGATTTTGGCTTCAAAGAAGAGGAGAGCATTTTTTCTGGTCCCCCCCGTCGGGACCAGAATCCTCGTGAGGGGTTTCGTTTTTTAGCCCTCCCAGGAGTCGAAAAGGACCCCCCTGACCACCCGCGAAAGGACCTCTCCAGGCCCAGGGGGAGGGGGAGGGGGAGAGGTAAACCCCTCCCCGAAGGGGAAGGAGGGTTGAGAACAGAGCGGGCTCTCTAAACCACTCACGCCCAAAGGGCTGGTGGGACTAAGCTAAGCTAGGCTAGACAAAGCTAAGTTAAGCTAACCTAAGCTAAGATGAGATAAGCTAAGCTAAGCTAAGCTAAGCTAAGCTAAGCTGGGTGAACCCAGGGGGCGCAGACGGGGGAACCACGGGGCGGGGACTGGGGGAACCGCCCGGGGCGCGTTCCACTGCCCGGCCCTTTTCAGCTAAGAGAGTAAGAACCCTCTAGGCAGAGCCTAGGTAGGGAAATATGGGAAGTGGGGGGGAAGACAAAAACCCAGAAAATGTGAGAAAATATGGGGGATCCTCTCATTTGTGTCGATTTATTGGTGTGTCCCAGAGCCCCTTCAACGAAGGCGGTACCCACTTGGGACATCTCACGCGCGAGCAGCGGAGGGAGGTCCTCGCGCCCCCTGGCCATGTCCCAGGGATGTATACTCGAGCTTCGAGCGCGTGACTTGGGTGCATGAGGCCGCGTGCATGCACAAAGCGTTGATGCAGGTGCGTCCAGTCGCACGCGTGTAGATGCGCCCGCCCTCGAGCACCATGCTTCTCGAAGCACTGGCGGCAGCGTGCCATCGGCAGCACGGGCACCGCCGTTTCTCGTACCCTCCTGGTGGAGCCGCTGCGACGGAGGGGCCCACCCGGCGCCCCTCCTCCTCTTCCCATGCTTGCTGGTGAGGGTTGTCTGGAGGAGCGCGTCTCGGTCTTCGCGCTCGCCCACCCTTCCTCGGCGGCGCGCCCACGGGGGAAATCAGGGACGAGGAGGAGGAGGAGGAGGAGGAGGAGCAGAAGGAGGAGGAGGAGGAGGAGGAGGAGGAGGAGGGAAGGAGGAGGAGGAGGAGGAAGAGGAGGGAGGAGGGAGGAGGGAGGAAGATGAGGAGGAGGACGACACGGAGGGCGCACTGGGGCATCTGAGGAGCCCCGTCGCCTCCTGAGAAGCCCCGCCTCCTCTCACATTCCCACTCGACGCTGCTGGCGTTCGCGGCGCGGCCCTCTCCCGCGCGGACGGCCCCGAGGTGAAGGTGGTGGACAAGCGCATGAAATCAGACAGGCCGCGGCGGCGGCGATGGTTGGGGAACAGTCGATGACATAAGCATTAACAAAAGCTCTCAGGTCCGCGCCGATCCGAGAATTCCGCGCGGACCTACGCGTTTCATGTTTATACTGTTGTTTGTGTCCCCAGAAGGAGAGGGAGAGGGAGGAGGGGGAAGTCGAGTCCGCACCAGTTAGTGGCAGCGTCGTCTCCGCGTTGTTGTCCACCCACCCCCCACACGGGCCGCCGGAAGACATCGGTGGATACTCGGCGCCCTGGGGGAGGTTTCTCTCCGCCCTCGCGATCCATCTTACCGTTCTTTTCTGCTCTAGGCACCCCAATTCGATCACCCCCCCGGGAGCGATCACACCTGGAGGGGGGATGGCTCCAGGCCTCCCAGATCTTGGTATCGCTCGGACGTGTGCATTTTCTTCTCGGCGAGGGCCATCAAGGAGCAGATGGGATCTTTTTACGACAGATCAGCGCACGACGTCGAGCATGCACGGGACGTGGACGTCCGAGCAATTGCGAGCGAGGGTGTCGGAGTCAATGAGGTCGGGGCATCTCTCCGGCCGATGCATCAGCGATGTGGCTCGGTGACTGTGGAGCTCGATCTTCCCTACGCTGATGGGCTTGGTTTCCACCACCACTACCATAGGTTGGAGGGAGAGGTCCTCCTCCTCCTCTTCTTTCTCCTCCTCCTCCTTCTCCAACATATGGTAGTGGTGGTGGAAATCAGTCCCATCATACGCGGACGTCGCAGCTTCATCGCCGACGTCGCCCGCGCATCGCCGAAACGGCGAAAGCTCCTCGGAGCCCCTTCGCCCTCCGACCCCCTCCCGGAGGCCCCGGGGCCAGTTTTCGAGGCAGCGAGGCTCCGGGTCCTGTGCCGGAGGCAGCCGCCGTGCAGAAGCTGTCTGACCGCGGCAGCACAGCTTCAGGAGGGGGACAAAAACATACAGGCACAGTTCATCGTCGATTCCCAGGAACATATGGGAACATATGGGGACGTGGGGTGGGGAAAGACAGAAGCCCAGAAAGTATAAGAACATGATGGGGGACCCTGTTATTTGTGTCTGTTTATTTGTGTGTCCCAGGGCTCCTTCACAGCTGTGAGCCTTGAGGTACTCCCCGGAGCTATTGTACCATGTCGGAGGCCCCAAACGTGGCCGCGCCCAGGCGCAGGCCCCCGACGCATGCGGCACGGGCCCGGGTGGAGGCGTGGAGGGTCTTTTGGGTGCGTGTAGACGGCGCAGGGCGCGGGGACCTTGGCGTCGCCTGGGCGTGTGCACCTTTCTTACCAGTTTGAAGCGTATCCCTATCCCTACGTCTGACATCACCTCACCACGATGCCGATCTTGAGGATTCACTCGGTTTCTGAGGGCCTGTCCCTAAGATTGTCCTCGCTTTTTGCTCGCCCATCTTAGGGGTAGGGATAAGTTCGAGGCTAGCCTTTCCCCGCCGCGGATCATCGGGGAGCATCCTGGATCATCCTACGGAACGCACGCGCACGACACCGAGAGACTCACAGTGGGCATGGACGTCCGAGCGCTGGGCGGGGGCTCCGCCCGCCCCGCCCCCCGCCCGCCCTCGGGCCTCCTGGACCGCGGCTGGCCCCCCGTCCGCGGCCTAACCGTAAGTCGGGCCTGTCCCCCTACAGGGGGACTTTCGACGAAAAATACACAACACCCCAACCATAGTAAAAGAATACTGAAAAATAGTCCGGGGACTATTTTCAGAGTATTTTCCGAAGTTTTTGTGGTATTTTTGGGGGTCGTCGAAAATCCTCCTGTGGGGGGACACGCCCGATTTGAGCCTAACCGAGGGCGTCGGGGCGGGCGGGCCAGGAGCTCCCCAGGACGGCCCCCCAGGAGGGCCCCAGGGTGCCACCAGGAGGAGGAGGCCAGGGGCCCCCCCCCCCGCCTTCGAAGGAGAGCAGGCGCCAGAAGGCAGAAACTTTACGGTAGGTTCGCGTCGTGTCGACCGGCGGCGACCCCGCCGCCGACGTTCAACGTTGAACGCCGACGGCGGCCCAGAATCGGTCGATGTTGAACGATCGGACGTTGCGGAGACGGCCGATCGTTCAAGGTTGAACGATCCAGCGCGGTGTCAGGAACCCACGCCAGGGTCGACACGGCACGAACCTGCAGTAGGCGCTCCGGGCGGATGTCTTGGATCCGCGCCCGGCCCCCCAGAGCGCCAAAAGCTCATGTCGATGCAGTTTTTTCTTCTTCTGCCCTGGAGGCTCCCGGGAGGGAGTCCGCGGGGTCGGTGGGCTCGGCTGGGTCGCGGGCGGCCGCATTCGCTCGGCTCGGTTCGGTCGGTTGCTGCGCAGCTGCGTCCTCCTGGGCTGCCTGCAGCCTGTCGGTGTCGGTCGGCTTCGGTTTCGCCGTCGGTCCGGTCGGCGTTCGGTCGTGTTGCCGCCGTGGATGGCCTTGGATGGGGCATCTGCCTTGGATGGCCTTGGATGTCAGGCCTGTTCGGCTCTTGCGTACAGGCGGCCCAGATCAGTAGGTCGGCCCTGCCAAATCAAGGGTACCGTTGTGTCCTGTGTCTCGCGGCCCATGCTCTGGACGCCCGAAATGGGTACGGAAATAATGGATACAATGCCCAACAGCAGTTCCTGTTCATTTTGAACAGGATTCGTTGTCCACGCCGCCGCGGCCTGTGTCCATTCGAGACAGAAGGCCGCCTGCCCAGCAGCGGCCGCTGTTGGTTTGGGACAACATTTGTTGTTGGGCATTGTACCCATTCTTTCCGTGCCCATTTCGGGCGTCCAACCATGCCTCCGACCTTCATGTGGCAGCGTGGCCCTCGAAAGGGTCTTGTGTCCTCTCGAGTGCCCTCTCCAGTTCAGTCTGACTGTACTGAGCTTCTGCATCCCGTGGTGCGCCCCGTCCCCCCTTGAGCCGGCCTGCGCCCCTCGGACTCACGAGGTGCCCCACTCGGCGACGGCCTTTGGTGCCCCACCAGGGGCGCACCAGCGGTGCTCTCAGTACGACTGCCGGCGTGTGATTCCAGCCACCGTGTTCTTTCAGTCCTCGGTCGGCGTGGTGCTGGCAAGGGTCTGACTCCTCGCGGGCGTCCCGTTTCTGCCGCCGAGGCGGGGAGGATGAGCACGAGGATGATGAGGCTGAAGGAGGAAGACTGGGAGGAGGCATGGAAAGAGGGAACTAGAGAAGGATGTAGATGGTGCTGAGGCAGGAGGACAGGGAGGAAAAGGAGGACGGGGACGAGGAGAAGAAGGACGTGGAGCAGGAGGACGACGAGGAGGGAGGAGAAGGATGAAAAAGAGGAGGAGGAGGAGGAGGAGGCGGACGATGAGAGGAAGAGGAACACCAGGCTGAGAATGATGAGGAGGAGCAGGATAAGGAGGGAGAGCGGCGAGGAGGAGGAGGAGGAGGAGGAGGAAGTAGAGGAGTAATGGGCGGAGGAATATGAGCAAAGCGCAGGAGAAGGAGGATGAGTAGGAGTAGTAGGAGGAGGAGGAAGAAAGGGAGGAGGAGGACGAGGATGATCATGAAGAGGAGGATCGGGATGCATATATATATATATATATATCTGTATGTATATACATGGATCGGGAGAGAGAGAGAAAGAGAGAGAGAGAGAGAGAAAGAGAGAGAGAGAGAGCTGTAGAAGGAGGAGGAGGAGGATGAGGATGAGGATGAGGAGGAGGCGGGTGGTAGGGGTGGTGTCGATGATGATAGTGAAGACGACGATATTGATGGCGGTGATTCTGAGGGTGATGACGTTGTTGGCGATGGTGACGTCGACGGCGATCGCGACGATGATGCTGAGGCTGCTGCTGCTGCTGATACTGATGATGCTGATGATGATGATGATGCTGCTGCTGATGATGATGATGATGATGATGATGATGATGGTGATGATGATACTGGCGATGATGATACGGATGACGGTGCTGATACTGTTGATGATGGCAATGATGATGGTGCAGCTGATGCTGATGATGGTGCTGATGATGACGCTGATGATGACGATTCTGATGATGATGACGATGACGACGACTCCGACGACGACGATGACGATGATGCCTATACTGTTGTTTATGATGATAATGGTGTTGGTGATGATGAGGGTAATGATGACCATGATGATAATGATGATGACTGAGGTGGTGATTATGCTGTTGATGAGAGGACGATGGTTATTGTGGTGATGGTAATGATGCTGTTGATTGTGGTGGTGATGATGTTGATGAGTGTGGTGGTGATGATGGTTATGGCGAGGATGACATGACGTTGATACTGGCGATGCTGCATATGCGGCTGCTGACGCAGATGCTGACGATTATGGCTCTGACGATAGTGATGCTCGGCTGGTGATCTGATGATTGGTATGATGATGCTGATGATGTTGATGACGATGCTGGTGAAGCTGATGACGATGTTGGTGATGACAATGTTGGTGATGCTGGTGATGCTGCTGATGCTGGTTTTGGTGACGATGCTGATGATGTTGACGTCGATGAGGATGATGCTGATTATGCTGCTGATGAAGATGAGGCTGATGCTGCCGATATTGCTGCTGGTGATGCTGATGTTGATGATGCTGATGATGAAAATGATGATGATGTTGAGGATGATGATGATCATGATGATGATGATGATTATTCTTATCATGTTGTCGATGATGGTGATGCTGATGATTATTGTGATGATGCTGCTGTTGATGATGTGCTGATGATGATGAGTATGGTGGTGGTGCTGAAATGTGGAGGAGACTGGAGTGGTGAAGGAGGAGCAGGAGGACGATGACGGCGCCGCGGTTGTACAATACAGTGCTGGACCAGCCCTGAGAATGAAGCGTTTGCGTTGCAGAGCGTGTAGTCAATGGGTGGAAGATTGGGTCATGCCAGGGTGTGTTCTTCCCGCCCTCCACTTCCTTGCTTCCTCGCCCTCTTACTCATCCTCACAGCGGAACCTTGCCGCATCCCCGCATCCTCGCTCCATTTTTCTCTCCATCATCTGTCTCTCTCTCTCTCTCTCTTTCTCCCACTGGGGCAAGGATCGCTGCAGCCGAAGTGGCATAGGTATCGGACGGAGTCCGAGGGACAGTTGCTGCCTGGCCGGTGACGCTGCCGAGCCCTTCATTTCGTCTCCGCCTTGTGGCTGTCATGGAGACGCAGACGCATTGTCTCGTCTCAACGTGGCCAGCCCCTCCGGCCAGGACCTCGCTGGAAGCCCCCGGCAGCAATTCCCAGTCGCGAGGTTCTTTCTTAGAGTCGGTGTTGCCGCTGCGTCGCGGGCCGCGTTCCCTGGACGGCTCGGCGCTGCCCTTCCGCCGCGGCGCCCGCCTCCTTTGCTCCGGGATCAGCAGTGCCCCCCCAGCGTCGTCGTCCGCCACAGTGATGTCTCGGAAGGGCGCTCGCGCCCTGAGCGCTGGCCACGAGCTCCTGGACTGTCGTGCTCCTCTTGCCACGAGGCCTGTCATTTCCCTGGCTGGGGATGGTGCTCTCGCTCTCGCGCCCAAGGAGAAGGATCAGGGTGGGAAAGGAGGAAGAAGGAGAGGGAGAATGCTGGGGAGGTGGAAGAAGAGGAGGATGCGGTGGATGCAGGAAAGGGGAGGAGAATGGGAGGGGGCGAGGGGGAGAGGGGGACGGACAAGCTAGGTGCGAGCGCGCCACATCTGACATCCTATTGCTCCCTCCCGTCCCTTCCCATTGCGCTGATCCTTTCTCCAGCCATCAACGGGTGCCATAGCAAACCTGGAACACCCAAAAGGACACCATTCTGTTACGGGCACTCTGACAAGCGGAGCTGCGTACATCGGATGAGGAGGAGTAGGTGAGTAGGTGGCGGACGAGCAGGAGGATGAGCAGGAGGACGAGGAAGAGGACGAGGAGGAAAAGCAGCAGCAGGAACCGTCGGAGCGGAAGGAGCAGCAGGACCAGGGCAAGGCTGGGAAGAGGCAAGGGAGTGGGCGACAACGACGAGGAAGCACTCGGAGCCGGAGGCGTGGCCTGCGCCGGGGCGAGAGCGCCATCCCGAACGACGGGAGCCGAGCGCCTGCCCTCACCTGAGGCCAAGCTGCAACATGTCACCACCCACCAAACCACCCCAAGCCAACCTGAAGGCTTCAATTGTGACCTCCATTTCCAGTGAGGGGTGCTCGAGGAACATTGAAAACCACATGGAACCTGTCCTCCCCCAACCCGAAATTCGAGCGAAGTTCGGGTCTTGGGTGGGGTTGGGGTGGTCTGGCAGGTAGGCAACGTCGAGACTGTGAGAGCACATCGAGAACACACAGCACACACACCGAGAGCCCGTGCAGCGTGCAGGAGGTCGGTGCGCTGACGGGGGGGGGCGGGCGCGCCTCGGGCACGGCCGTGGTCGTAGAGTGGAGTGGGCGGAGGCGGAGAGGGAGGGATCGCGGGACGGGAGGATGGAGGATGATGGGCCTGTTTTCCACCACCACTACCATAAGTTGGAGGGGAAAAGGAGGAGGAGGAGGACGAAGAGGAGGAGGAGGAGGAGGAGGAGGAAGAGGAAGAGGACCTCCTCCCCCTCCAACTTATGGTGGTGGTGGTGGAAAACAGGCCCATCAGAGGATGCACTAAGGTCGGGCATAGCCAGGACCCCGGGTAAGGGGACCCAGTTAGTGGCAGGGCCCTGGGGCCCCTCAATTGGCCAGATGAACTAAACCAGGTTTGCCGTAACTTGTGTTTTTCGGGTGACGACAGTTCCGGTTGGTGGAAATGGGACGGGGGGGCGCCCCCGGTACAAATCACTAAACCAGGTTCCACTAAACCCAGTTCTGCCAAGGCCCGATGAGGGGGAGGAGGGGTGGATGGGTCGGGATGCACAGATGGACGGACGGCGGGCCGGACGGGCGGAACTACGAGCGGACGTCTGTGGAGGTCGAGGAGGGACGGAAAGGGAGGATGGGGTAGGAGGGGAGAGGAAAAGGGAAGGGAGGAGGAAGGGATGGAAGGGAAGAGGGGAGAGGAACAGGAAAGGGAAGGGAGGATGGGAGGGGAAGGGAAAGGGAAGGGAAAGGGAAGAGGAGGGAGGAAAAGGAGGGGGAAGGGGAAGGGAAGAGGGGAGGGGAGGATGGGGCAGGAGGGGAGAGGAAAAGGAAAGGGAAGGGAGGATGGGGAGGAGGAAGGGGAGAGGGGAAGGGGCAGGAGGACCGAGGACGGGCACCGGAGGAGCGAGGACGGGCCGTCCTCCTGTCAGGAGCGGAACAAAAACACACAGACAGAAGGAATCGTCGACCCTCCAGAGAATACGGGAAAATATGGGAATTGGGGGGAAGACACGAATCCAGAAAATATGGGCAAATAGGGGGAACCCTGTTATTTCTGCGTGTTTATTCGTGTGTCCCGGGGCCCCGTCATCCTCGTCCTCTCGCCCGGGCCGGCTGGAAGGCGCGGGGAGAAGAAGGCAGCCGCATTCAACAAGAAGCGGCAGAGGACCCTCAACAAGAAGGCGCAAAACAAGAGGAAGGGAAAGGTGCGCCTCCCATCCCTCCCGTTTCTTTCCTCTCCTACCCTTTCTCCGTCCCTCACCTCGCTCCCCTCCTGCTCCTCGCCTCCTTCCCTCACCCTTTCAGTCCCTCTCCTCTCAAATCTAGTTTACAGCATTTGCTGCTTATGAGTTTCGGCCGTGAGGTTCAGCCGTTCGTTTGCATTGCCGAGGGATTCTTGGTTCTGTATCAAGAGAGGCTTGCTTGGGCAGGGTTACTCTGTTCCTTGCCCACGCCTCGCCCGTGTAGGCGTGTGCTCTCCCAGTCCTCCTGGAAGGGCGCCGAGTGTGCCCCGAACATCCGGAGGAGTGCCTGCCTCGGGCGGCCTGGCGCTGTCCCCTGTGGCCCGTGGCGGGACACCGGGCGCGGAGGCGTCGGCAATCCGCCGGCCGTCCTGGGAAACCGACACCGCCTGCGTCTGGCTGTTCGTTCGGTCGTGTCGGGGACCATCACGTCTTTCTCTTGTGCTGTGGAGTATCCGAGGATCGTCTCCGTGCCCTGCTGGCCAAAGCCCTACATACTCATCCGTGCCACCACACCGCCCGTTGGCAATCTGCCAACCATTCGTCTTCAGCGGGAATAACAGGCCCATCTAGTCCTTATAACACTGAAGGCGTGGCCTCATGGAGGTCCCCGTCTTAGTATCAGGGATCATAGATCTGGACGGTCGGGCTTGAGAAGTCTGCAGAAAAGACCCCCTATCCCTTATGTTTGTTTGGCCCTCCTAATTTAGGTCCCCTCCCAAGGTTTAGGGGTCATTGTATTGCTAATCACGTCTGGCTGTTCGGTCGTTTCTTCATGCCACCGTTGCGGACCGTATTTGTGGAAATACCGGCTGTTCGTCGGTGGTCCGTCTCTTGCGGTCCGCCCGCGCCGCCCTCCGAGACTGGACCACCTCAATCTCGGCAGCGCTCGCGGGCCAGTGCGCGTACACACCATTCCCCATCGACAGGCTGCAGCGCGGGCGGTGCGGCCAGCTTCCCATGGGCTCACCCGCTAATCGCCCAGCGCCAGCACCGCCAGCTTGTGGGCCCAGGAGGAGGAGGAGGAGGAGGAGGAGGAGGAGGAGGAGGAGGAGGAGGAGGAGGAGGAGGAGGAGGAGGAGGAGGAGGAGGAGGAGGAGGAGGGGAGGAGGAGGAGGAGGAGGAGGAGGGAGGAGGAGGAGGAGGAGGAGGAGGAGGAGGAGGAGGAAGGAGGAGAGGAGGAGGAGGAGGAGGAGGAGGAGGAGGAGGAGGAGGAGGAGGAGGAGGGAGGAGGGAGGAGGAGGAGGAGGAGGAGGGGAGGAGGAGGAGGAGGAGGAGGAGGAGGAGGAGGAGGGAGGAGGAGGAGGAGGAGGAGGAGGAGAGGAGGAGGAGGAGGAGGAGGAGAGGAGGAGGAGGAGGAAGAGGAGGAGGAGGAGGAGGAGGAGGAGGGAGGCAGATGAGGAGGAGGAAGAGGAGGAGGAGGAGGAGGAGGAGGAGCAGGAGCAGGAGGAGGAGGAGGAGGAGGAGGAGGAGGAGGAGGAGGAGGAGGAGGAGGAGGAGGAGGAGGCCCTGCCCCTGCGGAGCGGGGCCACGCGCGGGAGCGCGACCAGGTCCGCTGCGGGCGTCCTCGTCGCGGCCGCTTGGAGCGGCGGGCGCACGCCCCCACGCCGGCGCGGAAGCGCGGACGGCTGGTGCGCCTCCCCAGTCTGTGCTCAAGGGCTGCTTTGGCAAGGCCTCCGGCCTTCGGGTCGAGGTCTGCCAGGCCAGCTGGAGGGAAGCGCGGCTGGCTGCGGCGCGGGCCAGGGACCGTGCGTCTCGTGGGAGCCATGGTCGCTGGGCACCTCGCTGGAGTCGAGCCTACCGTCGGGATCGTCCTGCCCCCCGTCGCCGCCGTGATGTGGGGCTGCACCATGGCCGTGCGTCTCGTGGGAGCCGTGGTCGCCATTTTCGCCCGGCACCTCCCCAGAACCGAGCCCTCCGCTGGAGCGCTCGCCCTGGCCGCCGCCGTGGGAACCAAGACCGCCGTGCGAGCGAAGGCCGCCCTGCCCGGCCGAAGAACGTCCGTCCTCTCACCTCAGGCCAGGACGCGGCGCGGGAAGGTCAGCACGCGGCAAGACCAGCATGCGGCGCGGCAAGGTCATCCTAGGCGTGCTCTCGCACCTCAGGTCAGCAAGCGGCGCTTCCCCCCGCAGCTGCCCGGGTCGCTGGTGGGCTGCGCGGGGCGGCGACTACTAAGACGGGAGCGGCCATTCAGAAGGCGAGCGCCTACCCCCACCTCCAGTACCGACCCCCGCCCCCGTATTGGCGATCCAGGGGGTCGGGGTTAAGGGTGTGGGGTGTTTTTGGGGTCCTTGGGCCCCGAAAACGCACCCCCCCACCCCCAGTCCCGACCCTCTGGGTCGCAGGTCCGCGGATGGGAGTCGGGACTGGTGGTGGGGGTGGGTTTTTCTTTTCTCTCGGCCATCCCAGACCCGTTCGCGTCGAGAAGGACAACACGGCGGGCAGTGTCCTGCTGTTCTTGTTCGCGTTCGGATAATGGCGGCCTTCGCTGGGCCCCAGGACCGTCGAGGAGCGATTCGGGGTGACGAGCCTCATCCGCGGGACGGTTCCAGACGTCGGGGGGCCTGGGATGAGGGCAGTGGTCCGCGCTGCAGAGCATTAGGCCTCCCATGTGGGGTCGGAGGATCGCACCGCACCGCCGCCTTTGTGTCCCCCCCCCCACCACTGCCGTTCTGCCGGCGCTGTCCTGCTTCTCCTCCGCGTCCCTCTCCTCTCCGACACAAGAAATATTCAAGGACACCCTCTAATGGATTATTCTTGGGCCTCGGGGGAGGGTGGCGGTGTATAATTCACCACTGAGAGCCAGCGACTTTCTACACCGGCACCCTCCCTGAAGGCGCCTGAAGGTACTTGCACAGTTCGTCGGAGGGTGTCTGTGTGTGTACATATACATACACGTGTGTGTTTGTGCGTGGCGGATCCTCGGCCTTCCGCCACTTCCCACTCCTACTCCTCTTCATGCCCCCACTTATTCTCCTTGCCCTTCCCCTTCTCCCCTTTTTCATCCCCCTCTCCCCTCTCCCGTCCTCCGCCTCCTCCTTCTCCCCTCTTCCATCCCGTCCTCCCCCCCTCTCCTTTTTCCCAGCCCCCCGACGTCGCGTGCTTTTCGTGACGTGGGCCCCCAGAGGCCCCTTCCCGGGGGACCTGCTTTCCATCCTGCGTCGCTGTCTGGCGGTCCAGAGGCTTGGTAAAAGAGCCTCTGGAGGTCGAGAGCAATCGAAAGCCGCCTGCCGCTCTGCTCTCATGACCCGCGAGGGGGTGTGGGCTCCTCCCCCGCTCTCCTTTCGTCCTCCCCCCCGTCCTCCCCGCTGCTCCCCCCGCGGCGCCACTGAAGCGGGTGGGCCAGGCGAGCGCCGGAGGCGGCAGCAGAGACAGCGGCGGGAAGGGCGTCTTCAACAGGGGATCGGCGTGACCCTCGCGCCGTGATCCTCTGGCGCCACGCCCGGCCCCAGAAAAAGGAAACCTGCGCGCGGGGACAGAAAGGGAGGAGGAGGAGGAGGAGGAGGAGGAGGAGGATCCACCTAGACAGCAGCACGAGCAAGCCGAAGCGACGCAGACCAGTGCAAAGCAGTGCAACGCACAGCGAATCAAGCCAGAGAAGACAACGCAAACCAATGCGATAAAATACAGTGCCGTTTTTAATACATGCTCCGCGTGCGGATCATGTATTAACAATGCAGGGATTTAGTATCAACAACAACGATGGGTCCATGCATACATGAATTCATACATTAATCATGTATTAACAAATCCAATTTAAAACAATCCCATGTAGTAAAAACTGCCCTGCACAGAGCGACGCAGAGCAGTGCAAACTAACGCAGAGCGGCGACGGGCCGGCGACTGCGACGGCAGGGCGGGGCGAGCCCAGGCCCGGCCGGCGAAGCAGCGGCGAGGCGGCGACGGGGCGACGAGGCGGCAGCGGCAAAGCGGCGAACACGGCAGCGACGAGCCCAGGCGACGGGTCGGCGGAGAGGCGGCGGAGGAGGAGGAGGAGGAGGAGGAGGAGGAGGAGGAGGAGGAGGAGGAGGAGGAGGAGGAGGAGTAGCGGGCGGCGACGGCGACACTTTAAGGCAGCGGGCCCCGCACTGGGGCCCCGCTGACGGGCTGCGACGAGGCGGCGATGGGGCGACGACGGCGACGACACGGCAGCAGGCCCCACTAGAGCCCCGCCGACGGGCTGCGACGAGGCGGCGGTGGGGGCGGTGACGGCGACAACAAGGCGGCGGACCCGCACTGGAGCCCCGCCGACGGGGCGGCGACGAAGCGGCGACGTGGCGGCGACCGCGATAACAAGGCGGCGGACCCGCTACTGCAGCCCAGGGCCTTACAGAAACAAAAAGAAGCGAGGGGGAAGCGGCGGGCGAGGCTTTCTGGCCTCGTTGACGAAGCAGTTCTGTGTCACCCACTCGTGGAGAGGCCGTGCGCCCGTGGTAAACACCTTTGTGGCCCACACTTGTGGCGCCTCCTGCGGGATCAGTGCACGCGATGAGCATCCTGTGGCATACGCTCTGCTTCGCACCCTGCCAGAGTTTGATGGTCCCCGACGGAAAAGCAACCTACACGACAAGCTTGAAGACAATCGTGCTTCGCTTCGTCCGTGCTCCCCCTTTCCACTGCATTGTGGCTACGTCCAAAAACCCTTCCCTACCCCCCTCCCAGCAGGCCACCCCCACGTATCTGATGTCACCTCTGGTCGTCTCTCGGCCAGGGCTCAGACTGGTAACGCGTTGGCTGATAAGTATGCCAAGCAAGCTGCGGAACACAGCAGAGTCTCTCAGCAGTATCGAGATCTGTTCAAAAGTCAGTTTAAAGTTGTCTGTGCCTTGACCCGCTGGGTTGGCGTGTGCGGGCCCCCCATGGCCGATCTGGACTGTCAGCACGCTCCTGTGTCCAAGCGCGTCAAGAAGCCCAAGTCTGATGTGCCCAGGTTGCGAGTAATTCCTCCCCCTCCCGTGGTCTCGCCGGTTGAAAGTCGAGCCGATGTTGCGATCGCGGTCTTGAGGAGAGAGGGTCGCACCACTCACAGAGCCTTTCCTTTTACTCTCGCGGGGGGGAGGCGGGGGGTGGTGTGTGCCCATTGCGGTGCTGGCGGAGTTACCATTTCGAAACAGTTTCGAGACCCGTGTCCGCCAGTGCCCTCTGTCTGGGGCAACCGAGTTTTGCGAGGCCTTGAGCAGGGCAGGTACAAGCAAGGGAAGGAGTGGATCCTTCACACCGAAGCTCGGAACCCTGCCAGTCTGGAAAGAGGCGGTCAGGGCTTGGACCCAGGCCGCCCTCGGAGAGAACACCCTGCCGCTGGCCCCTCGACTGGATAGCGCCCTCAGTCGGGGGTGACAAAAAGGTCGTCCTGATGGGTGCTCTCCCGAGGTTGTTGTTCTCTGTTGGTGCTCGTGGGGATCTCATGAGCGCCTACTGCGTGCGCAGGAGGAGGAGGAGGAGGAGGAG